AATGAATTCGAAATATAAATTAATTCTATATTGTTTTCAATCAAACAATAACATATTCTATAAAAATATAATAATTTTTATGAAAAAGAAAAAAAAAAAATTAAAAAAAAGTATGTTGTTATAGATAAAAAAAAAATTCAATCAAGTATACAACTAAATGTAAGTTAGTTAAGAAGAAACAAATTGAAAATATAAATTAAATTATATAAATTAAGGTATACATCGCGATTAAATAAATATATTTAATTCCCAATTGTATATCTAAACTCGTTCGAAATAAACATATAATTTTGTAAAAAATGGTCTAGAAATATTAAGAAGCAATATATGAAAGATATGAAATCGATACGTTTCATTCAATAAAATATTAACTGAATTAAGATAATTTGCTTTGAGATTGGTTTACTCTGCCGGTGAATGAACTCTGAAGACGATATAGTCTCCAAGACCGTCTAACAGAGAGACCGTACAAGAACTTGTTCGGTATCGATTTCTCAACATGCGCTCTCTCTCCCGTTTCTTTTAAACGAGATTGGATTACAGAGTCTCTCTTGTCTATCTATGGGACACCTTTACATTCACCTACATACGCATTAATTACATACTGTACACCGAACGCAAAATTCTGAGCAAACTTCCCAAACTTTCGAACACGAAACCATTTTATACGTATATACTTATATATAAAAAATTTCGTATTATAATTATAATTATAAAAAGTTTGTCTCAAACGTTATTTATATACGGTCGTAGAAAATACTTTTTTCAGTTAAAATAAGTAATCGTTTTTTAATTTCCACAATATTTTTATAGATATTGCTCTTCTATATTTTATATTCTCAAGAATAATCTTTTTCACTGATTCCTATTAATTTTAATATTAAGATATCATTTATTTGCAAAGTTTGTGGGTCGCATTTGAAGTCTCTGCATTGCCAATTTTAATCTCGCGAATAAAGGATTTTTATGATCGATAAGATTACGATTATCAAACAGCAGTATCAAATAATATCGATTTAACGATAATCTTTGAAACCGTAAAGCGGGAAACAAGGCGCATTTGAAAGTTCAGTCGTTCGTGTGGTCACGTCGTGGATAGTCGAAGCGTGTTTCGCTCACGGCCGCGAACGGAATGCGTACACCTGATGATTATCGATGATACATCGAAAATTAATTCCGTTTCGTATCCGTAACGATAACGGAACACGTGAATTTCTTGTAAACATCACTTTTGACGTACATCGTTCGTGACCCTGTCGAGATTCCCTCGAATACTTCTCGGCAAAGTGAATCGTGGTGCGAAGAGTTTCGTCCCACGTTCGACGCGGTTAAAAACGATCGATACCTCGATAGAAAAAGCGGAAGAGCGAATAATCGCGAAAAACAAATATACCCGGTACCCGATCTCATCCGGTAGGCGTGTGGAATTCGATACCACGGCATATAATCAAATCGTGAAACGTTTTGTGAATATTGAAAGCACGCTTTGCCAACGATTCCTGGACTGTAGATAACGTATCCTAGTTTCTTGTGGTCGATCGATCGGCTAACAAGCTTCCCGCGACGCGGATTTCTTCGACGTGAAGAATAGCCTTAAGCGGAAATCGTATCCAGAAACTGATTCGCCGGGTGAAAGGGAGGCCAATTGCGAGCCAATTTTCCTTAAAAATATTAGGATCTATATAGTGTGTCGACAAGCTTGCTATTGGGACAGATGTGCGATTTTTCGAAATATTATTATTGATATTCGGTATTCATGAACGATTTGATCGGCGCTTCCGGTGTTATCGCGATCTATCGCAACTAAGTAAACGGATGAAAATACCAATAAATGAATGTAAGTTGACTCGACACGTAAAAAAAAACGTTTCTTCAAAAGAAGGATACTTGCTAAAATTTTAAAGTATTCGCAGTACTTTCGAGATAAAGGTTTATACGATCGGATTTGTATAACGGTCCTTTCGCAAACAAAAAATATATTGTACTCGTAATTAATTGAAAGTTACACAACATGTTTACACGCGCTTCACGTGTCTTTGAACAATAATTAAGCGATGTTAATAATAGTATTTTTATGATTACAATTAACGGCAAATTTATCGTATTATTCGATAAAAATATGATAAAAATTTGTATTCTTTAATAATTTTTTTAATTCTAACAATGACTAATGCAATTAAAATTTTATATATGTATATGAAAATACTTTCTGGAAAATGTTTAAATAAATAAATAATATAATTTAATTTACAGAAAGAAACGCTAAAAAATGGACAATTCTTTGAATGATCGCAACGAATTCACTTGAAACGAGTGAGCGGATCGAAAATTTTTTTTTTTTCTCGAAAAGCGTTTCTCGAGTCGTATCAAGATCGAAAATTTGAATGGAATCTTCGAAAATGGAAAACGCGGAGGAGCAATCTCCTTTATTGGAGAGGAAAATAAGTACGTCGACGAAAATCGCCTATGCCTTGGGACATATTTTCAATGATCTCACCGCAGCCATGTGGTTCTCCTACACCCTGATTTATTTTCAAAGGGTGGTCTTGTTGGAGCCGATCGTTGCCGGTGGTCTTCTACTTTTGGGTAAAAAAAAAAAAAAACACGAAATCAAATTTTCTTAAATTAAAAAAAAAATCGAAAATAAAATTGACGAGAAAATTTGGCAGTATCTATCGCTAAAGCATCTTTATTCTTTAAGGTCAAATCATCGACGCCTTCATGACTCCTGTCTTCGGCGTATTGGTCGATCGATACCTGAAGAAAAAGATTTGGCATATTATCGGATCTGTGATGGTCACGCTATCGTTCCCAGTGATCTTTGGTGGGTTTAATAAATCATCACACGTAAGTATCATGCTTCTTTACGTGGCCAGCATCGCCGTATTTCAAACTGGATGGGCAGCTGTGCAGATATCGCATTTGTCCATGATCCCTGCGTTAACCAATTCATTGCTGGCACGGGCAGACTTAACTGCGATAAGGTGATTTTCCAAGGTTTTAATATTTATCGTTCTCTCCTTCCGATATTTATTATATTTTATCACCATTATAAAAAGATCTTGTGGAATACAGGTATTCCGCACAAGTTGGATCAGCCGTTGCAGTATTCGTCGTTACATGGATAGTTCTGCCCACGGATGAGGAGGCAATGGGGCGATTAGTTGAAGAGGACAGTTATAAATTTAGNATATACATTGAACGGGGGAAAAAAAGGCGTTCCTCCTTAACGATATTGCGTCGTAAAAAGGAAACATTTTTAAATACTTAAATTTTATTAAGAGAAATTCCAAGTGGATGATTAATAAAAATTTCTCGTTGCAGAATATCGTTTTGACTTTAACATCCATTGGTTTGATGGCTACCATATTGTTCCACGTGTTTTTAAAAGAAAATTTATTAGAGGATTTCGAATCGCATAAAGGAAATATCGAAGAAGCTAGAAGATTGTTCGATAGCTCTCAAAGTAGTCGAACGTCTTTGGTCGGCACGACAATTTTACTTAGAGTGGCTATGCTGTACGTGGCGAGCAGACTTTTCATTACCTTGGCCACGGTTTATCTACCGTTATACATAGAAGAAACGGATATCGATGGAAAAGAAGCCCTCGCCACTGTCCCGTTGGTCTCCTACGTATCTTCCTTTGTTGCCGCTTTGTTACTAAAGTACATAAACAAATCATGCGGAACAAAGGTGTGTATGTTAAATAAAAGTGCATTTAATAGAAGTACGTCACGTATTATCGTGAATGATTTATCGTTTCTCAGGTATGTTACTTTTTGGGCACGTTAATTGGTATAATTTCTGCTGCTGTTACGGAATATGGAGGGACCTCGAAGGCGATTTTATACATTGTGGCGATTTTAATCGGAAGTGCAAGCTCAATCACAATGGTCACAGCCTTGAGCGTGACGGCAGAAATAATTGGTCCGCGAACAGAGCGAAGCGCCATTGTTTATTCGATCGTAACATTTTTTGACAAAGTTGTTACGGGGCTCGTTGTCATCTTTATCGAGAAATTGTGAGGAAATTGATATTTCTTAAAAATATTTTTAAGTATTGTTAAAAGATGGAAGATAAAAGTATTTTCTTTTTAATTTTTTTTTTTTTTTTTCAGGAGATGCACGCAACCAACGTACTGTCCAAATTATAATAGAGATACATTGACCCTTGTATGCGTTCTTTCCATGCTTCTCGGACTTGTCACATTATTTTCAGTTTCGCGATGTTTAAATTAAGAATAAGTACAAGAATTTTTCTATAACAAGAAAAGAAAAAAGAAGAATCATTGAATGCTCCTTACATCCTTATATATATTTCATCTTTCTAACCAAGGATCATTTCATATTTTCGTATTTTTCCATTTTTACGTAAAGAATATACGAATAAAGTTTTACAATAAAATTATATATTAAATAGTTTCTAAAATTCTATTAAACAGTTGAATCTAATTATTACGATTTTGGAATCAAATTATATTTTCCCGCCAATTATGCGTTCTTGCGATAATATATATATATATATATATATATATATATAAGGGAGAAATCGTTTTTATCGACGCGATTGAAATTTTTGCAGATAGATGTCGTTGTAGGGCTGCGGTATACCCTTGGAAATTTCCAACAAACGGCGTGGTGGCAGCGCTAAGGTACGATGACCTGCTCGATTTACACGTTACGTGGCGCATCGTGGTTGCGTTGTAGAACGTAAGACGAGATCCGTTGAATTCTACTTGGCCGTTATGTCTCGTCGGAGCATATAGCAGTTATCGTATGGACCTAACGATAGATACGAGCAAGATTCGAGAAAAGGGAGGGGAACACAGACGAGCGAGTCAATCTCGAAAAGAAAGACAGAGAGGTTGAGGAAAACGAGAACGGAATAAGGAGGGAGAAAGAAGGAATGAACGTGAACGCGCGCGCGCGCGCACGAGTTTGCTCAGGCCGGTAGAGAGGGAAGGATAGGAAAAGAAAGAGGGAGCGAGAAAGGAAGAGAGAAAGAGAGAGGGAGAAAAGCAGGCGAACGAAGGCGCTTTGGTGGACCACGAGGCAACGACAAACGGCGCATACATCGCCTCGTGCGAACATGGCCCGGAAGGTGCGCGTGAGGCTACTGCGCAGAGTCTTGTTTTGCTCGGCGGGACGAGGGGAATACGGAGGCGGACGCATGTTCACGGGGCATGGCGTGGTGCGCGTTCTAGTAAACAACTTGTGTGCGACTCATGCGGGGAATCTGCGTCCCGAGTAATCGTGATTTTTCTGCCGAACAAGCGCTATACGTCGGTTCAGAATGAATTGTACCATATACGGATAAATCATTTGCCGTGTGTCTCGTGAACACGGCCTCATACGTGGAATATTAGTGCGGTTTAACCAAGTTTGTCGGTTTCTCTCTGAGAACTCGACCGCGGACCACCGCGTGTGTTCCTCTCTACGCGTATGTGTTTACGTGTGTAGTGACTGATACGCGTGTTTACATAGAACAAGTGTCGCCGGTGTTGACCGATTTCCAGTGTCATCAATCGACTTTCAATCGGCTTCGAGTTTCGACGTTTCGTCGGAGTCATTCTTCGTTTTTCTCCATTCCACGTTGACACGGTAGGTGAATCTCGTGGAATTCGTTTGATAGAATAGCCACCGAATTCGATCTCGGTCACGGCGTCGTATCCATCGAACACCGTGCCTGTGATGTATTTTCGGAGTAGCGCCATGCTTGGCCACGACTATGTTCTACGAACCGCGAAATCGAAAGACGCGTGTGAGTTAACGATATCAGTGTTTCACGATCGAATTTTCGCTAGATAGTTATCCGTTTCTCTTGTACAAATACGCGCCAATATTGCAAGACAATCGATTCGAGCATTCACTTTGAACGCCGCTTTCGATTCTCATTGATCGTCTGTTTAGCCGCTGTCAGTACCCTAGTCGGTCAGGCTCGCGCGCGCGTTTCTCTTTCACGTATTCGAATGCTTGGTAAACGGTCGTATGGAAAACGAAGGCGTAGAACGAAGGCGTAAAGGAAGTGCGCGATCGTTTACCTCTGACGTATGACATACGATCGATTATGGATATATCACGCGTCTCAAGTTTCCTCTAGACCGGATAAAGATCGATTCGGCGAAGTGGATTGTCGTAACGGATGGTTTCGCGGAGAACGCGTTAAGCCGATATCAATGGTCTCGCAGCTACTGCTACGACATGTGAAAATCGTATACGTGGTAGTTGGAGCGTGTTGCGTTCCCTCGTGGGGTGGTGAGTAGGGGAATCGGGGTGTAAAAATGGTTGGGAAAGGGAGAAAAAAAGATAGAGATGCGTTAGAGAAATAAGTTGGGGAAAAAGACAAGGAAAGAAATAAAACAGTGGCGTGCGAATTGGTCGAAGAAATCGGGAGCGGTGGAGCACGCGATCGATGTCGGTGTCGATCGCCGTAGCCAGTTCCTCGGTAAAAGGTCCTCGGAACGTCAATAGGCAGAGCGGCGCAGCTATATCGCATTCCACGTTATTTCTCTCTTTAGTCACTGACCTCGCGACTGTTCGGCCAACCTCGTTTCGTCGCCACTCTCGCCTCCTTGTTTACCACTCTCGACCGATTCCGAGTCGACCTCCGCTCCGAAGCTTCCTCTCGGCTTCTGTCTGTCTCTCCTTCTGCTCCTATTTCTCTCGTAAACCGAACTTTTTAAAGGACTTGGCCCCGACTACGATCTACAAAGGTGACGAAATCGAAGATAAATATACACAAAATTAATCGTACAATATTTTTTAATATTCGTTATAAATCGATGCAATTGTCATTAATGAGGTTTTTAGAACGCATGTCTAGTTTGCGCCAGCTGTTTGTTGCACGCTCGTAAAACTGTTTTAGATTCTCCTCTACAAAATGTACGAAGTCCAGCCAATGGGAAACGAGAAGCCAGTGTACGTGTACATAAATTTGTAAGCGTGAAGTGAGAATATTAACAAAGTCGGTCTTCTCGATCGTTTTCACCGTAATTTATAAAAGGATAAAATAATCATTGACACGGTCTAAATGATTCTCGTAATTCGTTCATCGATCAACAATAACTTCAACAAATATTGACCAAACGTGTACCGTTTTTTTTTTTTTTTTCACGAAAAACAATTTACTTCCTAAGGATCGAATCCGAGAACTCGATCGACTCGATGACAAAGAACGACGGATCCTTTTACGCACGATCGAAATAACCTGAAAAACCAACTTGGTCCGAAAGAGACGAAGACGACTATGTTTACATCTGGACGACCTTGGATGTACACAGGGTGATTGTAATCGAATAAACAGGCTTCTCGATACATGCCACGAACGCGGGAAAATATTCCCACTGTTGGACGATTAGCACGATTCTACAGTCGGTTCACGAGACAGTTGGTTGTGACATTTAAGGAAAGGGTCAGACACGTGGCGCGCATTTTTCGAAACTATTCTCCGGACGTGTGTTCGTTCCCCTCGATTCCAATGAATTAAACGAACCGTAAAGTATAAACGCACGAATTTTCGGCCTCTTTACCGCGACAACAAAATAATCCGTGCTCGGTAAGTAAAATTTGTATCGTCGTCAACGACTCGATCGGTTGCGTAACGTTGTTCACGTATCACGAGTTGTATTCGCGTACGCGTCGCAAACAAAATTTTTATTGCGTTAGTCGCTACCACCTCGTTCTTAACATTCTGCGCCGCAATCTCGCCTCCGACTCCATTTTCCCGGGCTTGCGTAAGAAAACGCAAACCCGACACGGGCTCCGCTCCATCTTACGTCGTAAATAACGATCCACCGATGCCTCTGATTGCTTCGTCACCGCGAAAGCGTCACAACGTGATCGTCAACGACGTTCTATTCACGTTATCCCTCTATAATCATTCCTTCTCTACCTATTCCCGTTTTCGGTTTCCACGATCAACATAGACGCACGTAAATATCTTATCGCGAGCACGCGCCTTTCCTCGAATCTAGCTTCGTCACTATTTTGTTACTATGTGTCGTACCTAGCGCCGGCGTCACGCGCATGTATTCGTGAATCTAGTATCGATATAGCGATCAACGAGTAATATTCTTAAAAAAAAAACTGCACTAAAATAAATTTTAAATCGCGATTTCACATTCGCGTACACCTAATATCAAATCCAAATTTTCGTATATTCGATTTTGATTTAACGTAGTGCATGGTATTCAACATCTTGCATGGTATTTCGATCGCTTTGAAATTCGCTTCGAAAGTTTTTTAAAAGCCGATCAATTGTCACTTTTTCGCCGAAGCCATCCATGATTTTTTACGCGCTTATGTACATTTGCGTTAGAAGATATAATGGCTGTAGCAACTGTCGACATTCGTTGCGCAAGGAGTTCACATGGATAAAGATCGCCTTTTGTGACCAGTGTTTTCTCCTTGCTTGCGAACTTAACACGTTTGTATATCCTTGCTTTTAGATCGCGTAGATTAATTTTGCGCTCGTTCCTCACGTTTACATTTCTATTTATTTAGAGATTGTCGATTAATTAATGATAAGTTAACGGTCAATGATCAAAAAAAAAAAAAAAAAAAATCATTGGTGCAGCTTGTTGTACTTTATCGATTTGTAAAGAGAAAGAGAAAGAGAAAAGGTATAAACGGAAGGTTATATTAAACTTTTATCGAAATTCTTCGATCTCCGCTTTAAAAGATTCATCATCGTTGGAAAATCCGGGCACAGTGTCTGACTTCCGCCGTCACGTCCGGCATCACCTTCGACGGTGCGAATTGATCGGTATTAATTAACCGAGAAGCGGTGCTAGCCGAGTTAAGGAGATCGAGCGACTGCCCCCTATCCGGCTTTCATTATCGCGCGTGCAAGGGGCGTTAATTAATGCGAATACGTCGAATACGACCACGTATCGGCCGATTGTTCTTTTCTTGCCCTGGGGGTCGTTTCGAAGAGTTTTTTCAGTGGCGCGGAGCGTTCCAGCACGATCCCTCTATCGAGTCGTGGCATGATCCACGAATGGAATCGTGTTCAGAGATCCACTAATGCATATTAAATGGACAATGGAAGAAAACTGGGACGATCGGGGATTCGTGGAATGCGGAGGAGGACGAGGACGAGGAATGGTCGCGTGAGACAAAGAATAGGGAGGGAAATGGAAAAGGAAAAGAAGAAGAAAAAGAAGAAGAAGAGGCGAATGGATTCAAAGAAGGAGACAAAGAGAGAGAGAGAGAGAGGGAATGGACGCCCTTCCTTCCATCAATGCCGCTGCTCGACCACGTTAAGTATGCAAACTGTGGCTATGCAGAGGCGCTGCTAGTGCTGGTTTTACCTTCCACGAACTATATTTCATTCGGGCGTATGTGTGTAGCCCGCGCGATGGGAACACATCGCATTCCACGCGTGTACGCGCCTTGTCCCAAAACCGTTCACACGGTCAAATACACAAGGGCACCCACGTTCCTCTCTCGCTCGTGGACATCGTCTTTTCCTCCCTCGACACCCGACCCTCCGCCTTTTGTTGCACTTGTTGCGATTTTGCCGCAGTTAATGCCGAGACGCACGCCCCAACCTTTTTTCGATGTATCTATATACGCTACGTTGAATGGCACGCAATCGGAGGGACGAGAAATTTTTTCTTTTTTTTTTTTTTTTCCCTCCTTGTTTTTTTTCTCTTTCAATCCGAAGCAGCGAGAACTCTCGAATAGAGTCTGGTAATCGGTCCTCGTTGCCCCAAAAACCCGTCTCGACCTATTTCCCCCATTCACCGAGCGCCCCCTATGCGCGTCCCCCATTCGACCCAGGCATTCGCTGGCTGTTTCGTTGTCCAAAATTTCCTGGCTTCCCGTGAACGGATAATTATTCGATCGAGCGGATATCGGCGAGGATTTAATCGAGCGAAAAACTGAGGCTATCGGGTTGCGAGGACGAAGAGGCGGAGGAGGAGGGGAAGAGAGCGTTGAGCAAAAAAGTTGATCATTTCTCCGATGACGTCTCATCGACGCGTGGACGTCGATGACGAGGTTTCTCTGTTTATGCTTGAACAGGCATCCTCGACGCGCATCTACGTATACACGCTCTCGACTCTTCAGCCTTGGCACATATACCCGATCGTGTAGTGGTGCGGTCGCGTGCACGACCTATTGCCACCTATGGCCGTGTATACACTATACGTAGTAGCCAGGGAAGAGATTGGAAGGGCGACGAATGGAGACAAATTCAGGCGAAGGGCATCGTCCTCCTCCTCCTTTTCCTCCTCCTCCTCCTCCTCCTCCTCCTCCTCCTCGTACGGATTCCCGCGGCGTACCGCAACTTTTTTCCCCTCCCCTCCCTACGTTCCCATGCATCCCGTGAATTACGCAACGGGCAAAAGCGGCCGTTTTCATTATTATTTGTCGCCGATTCGTCGCGCTGAATGTAGGCCGGTCGTTTCTCTCACAACCCGCGTGCTACGTCGGACCGGTGGCCATGGGTTTTTTAAAGGAAATTATCACGGGCCGACGCGGTCCTCCACGCGAAATTGCAAAATAGCCAAGGCGAATGTTCACGGTCGGAGAAATCCGAATTCCAGGAACGTTCTCGTCGTGGTTAAAAGGAAAAAACCTTGGGCGCAAAATGTACG